CACTCAAATACAAACAAAGATTACAGAACAGTTCCAGGCCATCTCTACCGCAAGTATTTAATACCAGGAAGGAGTAATTAGCAATCAAGCATCATTTGCCAAGGATGAAGAATGTTGCTGCCTGCTTTCATTGCAAGGGAAAATCTATTTAGGGAAATGAACACAAAAACAAGATGGGCCACTTCAGGGCTAAGAAAACAATCACAAAAGCCATAGGAGTCTTCAGAGCACGGCACCAGGTTGGCGAAGGAGCCCCCAGGAAAACAATTAGCACGCAGGAAGGCATCCTCCTGCGAGAGCGGACAGCACCACCGCGGCCAAGGAGGCTGGAACACCACTGTCTTGGTTCTTCTAAGAAACGTTTCTCTACTTATGAAATTAATGCTCATCAAAAGTTAGCACTGTCATTCTAGAAAATCTGAGAATTAGAGAAAAGTCCAAAAGAAGAAAAAATAACATGATCCTGTCTTCTAGGAGTTAATACTTTGTTTTTTGTTTTTTTATGGAAGGTAGCATTATTTAGGTAATATTGTACAGATAATTTTAATTCTGCCTTTCTTTACTAAATAGAATGTAACCACTTCCTGTTGGTATTACATTAAGAACTCCTTGTAATGTCTAATAACGTCTAATGCTTTCTTACAAATCCTCAACAGATGTTCGCTGCCCCTTAACCGCGCCCCTACCGCCACCTCCCCACCCCGACTCCCCTGTGTGCTGGCTACACTGCCATCTCTGCCCATTTCTCAGATTACTGCCTGAGGGTGGATTCCTGGATATAAAATTCCTGGCTCTGCTCTATGGTTCCTGTTACGTACTGTCACAGAGATTTCTGAAAAGTTTACAGCAATTTAATTCTTTTACCTAACAACATGAGCATGTTGTCACCGGCAACAGGTATAGGAATAAAAAAAAAAAGTATTTGCTAATTTGAAAATAAAAATTGGTACCTCATCATGGGTTTCTCTTCTAACCCTTTGCCCAGTGACAGACGAAGCACATCCAAGTATCTCTCGTGAATCTCTGAGCTGCAGTGTCACTGAGCCGGACGGCCTGCGTTGGAATCCCAACCTCCGCACTTACCACCTACAGAACCCCTCTGCGCCTGTTTCCTCATCTGTAAAACGGGGTGACACCACGTGCTGTCTTATAGGGTTCCTGTGAGGATTGGATGGGAAGACCGTGCCTGGCAGACACACCCTCCATTGCTATAAACAAGGACACAGGCCTTTTGGGGTTATTTGTTGCAAATGTTGTTTCCTTTTGTTGTTTACTGCTGAGTTGCCTAATGAGCAATTCTTCAGACACAGAGTATTTCAGTTCACGAAGGTAACTCAAGGAACAAAACTTAGGTTTCCACATGGGGAGCTGCTGGGAGAGATAGTCCCGGTTTGCAGACAAGGAGATGAGGGCAGTTCCTGCTCCTCTGTGGGCTGAGCAGACTGCAGCTAGCTGCCAGGTGAAGAGGTGCAAAACGCCAACTCGGATTAGGCCAGCGGGCACCGTCCTGCCTGCCCGCCAGGACCCCTGTGGCATCACCGCCGCTTTCTAAACACATGACGCCCGAGCTCCTGCCTCCCGGTCCTGATGCGGTGCGTGTGGGTTGAGGGCCGGGTCTCTGTTTCTGATGGGCCTTCCAGTGAGTCTGATGCCCGTGGGTATCACTGGGCCGGACCAACGGCGAGCCCTGCAGGACATCCACGTGGCATCCCAGCCTCCACGCCTCTGCGATTACTCCACACGTCTGTCACCCACGAGCCACCCACATCCTCCTTAAGACGCATCATAAATTTTGGAAGCGACCTCTGACCTCTCCTGCCCCATCTTGTGGGAGTGGGGAGGCCAAACCAAAATAATGCCAAAGAGACAGCAGATGGCCTTCAGGAGCCATCCCGGAAGGCCGATTCTACCACCAGAAGCTTGGGGTCCAGCTTCCTGACAAGCTCCTATCATTATGAAAACCAGTTTGGACTGGTTTGTAACCAAACCGGTTTGTGACTAAAAGGGACACGGGCTCTGCCCCTGCGCCCACCTCCCCGCAGGCACCCCCATTCCCAGCACAGAATGTTTTATGACAAGACAATTTACACACTAACACTTATCTGTCCTAGCAAAATTGCCAGTTGGAAGCTTTTTACAGGGAACTATACTCAAAGCTTTTGATCTTAGTGGGGGTGGAGGCGTGGTCAGCAAAGAAACAATAACACCAACAAAAGAACAAACCCTTCCCAAATGCTTAGGCAGGAAAGAAGGAAATTCTAGAAGGTAAGTGCCCAAGAAAATCAGGCACGACGGGAAACCCATCATTACAGGCTCGACACCGAGCGCGACGAGCATGTCGGGGCATCCTGGCAAAGCGCGACGGAAAAACGAAGTTCTGAAGATGCCAAGGACTTTAAAAGCCAACATTTGCTTCAAAAAGTGCCCCTTGGTCCAAAAGTTCAAACCACAGCATGCATTGTTAAAGAGAAAATCAAATCTGACATACTTTCGAGGTTCTTTCACATAGCGGGGAGAAAAGAAGGTCAAGGGCAACTCGGGGCAAGGAAGACAGCGTGCCGCGAGGTGGGCGGCTCTTCACGTGGGGACCTCGCGTCTCTCCAAGAACTCAGAAACCCCCGACCCCAGACACGTGAGGCTGTGTAAAACGAGCCCTTCGAGGTTGAAGCTTTTCACTAAAGATAGAAAAACATCATCTGTTGGAAAAAGCACGCACCTATGAGGCTATGATTCAAATATTCCAGTTGCAAAACCCAGCAGCTAGGAAAATAGCTCCGCAGGGCCTGTGTCTCACATCCAAGTACCTAAAGGAGAATTCTGGGTCTCCTGAGGCAGCCTTGGAAATGAACTGGGAGGAGCTCGTTTCCAACCCACCTGTCCCCTGTCCCCCGTTAGTATGTGACTGGCAGTAAGTGGCCTCTTAGGACCGTGGCCATGGAGGGCCCGGCATTCCTTCAGGTCACACGAGACATCATGGTGCCAGCACAGCGCGAACGCATCTCAGGGCCAGCCATTCCTAGAACCCTGAAAACCAGAGGTTACGGAGAATATAAAACCTGCTCCAAAATGGCAAATATACTTGCATCTCAGAGGTTAAAAGCAATGTCAAAGGAGGTGCTGTGAAAATTCGAGTGCAGAAACTCTCAATGCTCCGAATTTCCACCAAGGCTTCCATCCGACAGGATGGCATGGCCCGGAGAGCACGGTGTGGCCCGTGCCCAGCCACGTCCGCTGACCCAGCACCGCCCCAGTCCACATTTCTTTTATTGACTGTTCATCGAGGAAACAATCCAATGAGCTGAACAACGGGGGTGCTCTTGCATCTGCAGTCCTCGTTTATTATTGAAAACCAAGAACCAACAGCAACTTCTTTCAACCCACTGGAACCCCCGCCCCCTCTGTCACACACTCACACTCCACCCATAGACTTCAGCCTGCCTCTCAGCCCGAGACCACACCCCCCGTCTCTCTCTCTCTCTCTCTCTCTCTCTCTCTCTCTCACACACACACACACACACACGCACACGCACACGCACACACACAGGAAGGGGACTTACATCACAACTGCAACCTACAGAAGATGATTCAACCCAGTTTCTGCATCTTCATGAAGGTTACAAACCGAGTTAACCCACAAAGGTGCGGTGGGCTCCAGTCTCTGTCATTCTAGATGTGTACCTGACAGTTTCAACATATGAGAATCCAAATGAGCTCATTCCTCATTCAAACCAGGCTTCTATTGGTTAATAATGATTTAAATGTATCTTGTAGCAAATAAGATCAACACAAGATACACGGAATAAGTTAAAACACCTTCTCCATCTTACCTGGCTCTCTCCCCTGCAATAGCATCTTCCCTCTGGTTCCATGACCTTTTACTAGTCTGGAGAAGCACTAAGATCATGACAGAACCACAGCTTCCAAAGCATCCTTGGGAGCTTCTGCCTAATGGGGAGAACTGGATTCAAGTGGCCACCTTGCCAGGGGCTGGGAGGTGTCTCCTTTATAGAACGGACGCACGTCTGGCTAGCCCAACAGCAGGGACCACCACGTGGCTGGCTGGATACCACGTACCCATCCCTTCGGAGCAGCTGAGGCAGGGCTCAGGGTTAATGCTGGGGAACGCTTGTCCAAGAAATATGAACTCCTGACAAGTGCCGTTTATGTCTACCGAACCTTTTAAAACGATCTTTTCCAACCTTCATATTTCCAAAGAGTAACACATTCCTTTGCACAACAAGATTGAAAGTAACACCTAAACTTGCAGAAGGCAAGACACTCAGATGTGCTGGGGCCCTGGACACCTCACACACACTAAAGTGCCAACTGCAGGTGAAGTTTGCAAAACACGGGCATGCGCATCTAGTGGGATTCCTTAAATAAAGAGAACGTTCAGTCCCTTTGCGTACTAGCAAAGGCTCATTTTCAAAGCATCTGAATTTATAAGTTTCCTTTCTGTGCCATCAACGCCAGCCACCCCTCTTGCTCAGGCTCCTTGGTCTTTGAAATTCACCATCCATCCAACAGGGCTGCTACTGTAACCCTCAAATCAATGAGCTCTTAGCCACCGACACCACAGACCCCATGCCAGCGGACACCACACCGGAGTGCTTGCCAATGTGCCCTCAGGACACAAGAACGGGGGGTGCCTCCTCTGGGTGTCTATTTACAGAGCCACAACTAAACAACCCACAGATCCACATGTGTCCCCAGCATCATGGTGACCACATGTCTCTTTCTACCTGCTACTCCATGACCAACAGCCAAGTTCCACATATACTATTTCCTCCCTCCAAAGAGTTGCAGCCAAGGCCTCGAAGACCATCAAACACCAGGTCCACAGGGAGTGGTGTCCACAGTGGGCTGAAACAACCACCTAGCAAACGTTCACGGCAACCCCAGGTCGGGCCTTGTGGCCGTGCTGCCAAGAACACAACCCGCTTCCCGATGAGAGTCGGCGCTCTCCCCAAGCAGCAAGATGCAGACACCTGTGTTCCTACCTCAATCAGGAAGTCCCCAGTCCGCAGTCCGGCTTGCCAGGCCACCCCGCCTTCATCCACGGACTCCAGGTACTGCAGGGCTGGGAACGCCGGCGTCGGTGTGAATTCTTCAATGGGCGTGTCCGCTGGAGACACAAGGGGCACCTCATTACAAGCCTGGGAGAGTTCACAGGGACCCCCCCCATGGGACCCAGGGAGAAAGAGGCTCCAAGCATCTCCCATGGAAGTGGGTGGTCCAGGCCAACTTGTCCTCTGGGAAGGCTTAAGACTCAAACTCATGGGTCACCCCCAACCCGAGCAATGAAGCCAACTGCATGTTGGTGCCACCATCATGGCTCTTGGCCTCTCTGCTGGAACCATGGATAATGTGCTCCATGGTACATGTCTACATGCCTGTCATTTTCTTTAAAAGCATCAGTGACTAAACATTTTCAGTTCTAAAAATGGAAAAGTTCCTCCCCTACCACACGGAGCTACAGAAACACCACACTGAACCACTTGCCAAATTTACATCTACGTAGACTCGCAACCAAGGGAATTCAAGTTGGAACATGGATGGAACATCATGCTGACCCAGTGGGCGGCTGTGGATTTGGAATCTGCACATGAGTCCTCTCTATGGCAGCCCGGCCCTCTGTGACCTCGTCCACAGGAGGGCTGGATCACTGGGCCTCAGCACAGCGGGGCTCAGCTGCTGGGGCCCACACAGCTGCCAAATGCAACTCTGGGGCAAGAGATGGACTTTTCTGGCAGTCATGAGTGGCTGGGGGTGGATGCGTGTGGGGATGAAGATACCAGCAGGGGGAGGGGAGAGCACACCACACAGACAGGTGTGGACACACTCATGGGCACAGATCACTTGGCCCCCTGAGCCCAAGGCGGGAGGGAACGCTGGCCAGGGAGGCCTGCGGCACAGCACACGCTCCGAGATGAAACTTCCACATGGCTTACCCACACACGCGGTGGGCAGACGGCCCCTCTCGTGGGGAGGCGATGCCATTTTGTTTTCTTTTGGAAGGGAAGCCCCCAAGTTAAGGGCAGGTGGTGGGCACGCTGCCACGGACTGCATCCCTGAGCCTCCCACCACGGGCCACGTAACGTGTGTGCTGCTGTCTCGGTCCACGGCAGAGGGGACCATCTTGCCACATTTCCTTTGCAAAGTCACCTTAGAGGCAAGCACACGGGTGCCTGCCGGCCTTGGAGCTGAAGCCCACTCCCAGAATGGGGCAGTTTCTAGATACCCGAAACTCAGAGATGGGTAATTCTGGGTGTATGAGACCAGGAGCTTCAAAGGCAGCCCCGATCTGGCTAAACCAGCCCACAGAATATCGATCACTTCCACCATTTAAACGGAGAGGTGGGGGAGGGATGAAGGAAACAAGAGTGAGCCTATTCAGAGCAATATTGTGTACGGAAAATTAAAAATATTCCTGAAGGAAGCCCCAGCGTTTTCTGAGTAAGGCAGAATGTTAAAGAACATGGTTGTCTAGCAACCAAGTGCCCCCAGGAAAAATGCTTATTTCATGGTTGTTTCTGAGCCGGGGAACATTTTTCATATAGGCGTGCACACACACACACACACACACACACACACCATGTGAACGCAGCCAGGCTCAGCGCGATGCTCTTACCTTTCGCCCCCCGGAGCACGAACCCGAAGCCTTCATTGTCTTTCTTCTGCAGGACCACTGTCTTCTCCTCGATGATGCAGTCGCTGTAGAGAGAATTCCGGGGATAGCGACCATTACTGTAACCCGTCATCATCACCGCCGCTGCTCCTCCGCTGGGCACGTTCATCATCATAGCCAATTAATCACCCGGCCCGCCGGACCCCGGCAGCACGGAGGCAGCCGGGCGCGAGGGTGCGGGAGGAGCGAGGGAGGGGGGCGGCTGCCAGGATAGGCGAGCTCCGCACAATGAGGCTCGGAGGGGGCGGGCGGAGCGGGAGCCAGCCCGAGGCAGGAGTCACGCATGGTGGGGCGGCCGGCTCAAGGGGGGCTGGCCAGGACGCCGCCGAGAGCAAAGAAAGTAAGTGGCCCGCACGGCGGCGGCGGCGGCAGCAGCCTCGGCAGCAGCGAGGTGAAGGAGCCCCTCCGGCCTGCCCCGGCCACACGCATCTTCCCGGGAAGCCCAGCGAGATCGGCCAGAGGAGAAATGAGGCAGCAGTTTTGTTTTGCTTTTCCTTGAAGAGGGTTAAAGAAAAAAATCAAATCCCGTCTCCTCCCGCACGAGCGGCAGCAGGCGCTGGGGACAGACGCAGGGACCTGTGCGTCGCATCCAGCGCCCCCTCCCTCTCCCGTCCCGCGCGACTGTGGCGTGGCAGGAGCCCCCACGATCATCTGACGAGCCCACGGCGCGCCGGCGGCTGCCTGGGCGTCATCCCGGAGGAGCGCGGCTGGGCTGGGCGCAGGAGGGAGGGGGAGCGGCCGCAGCCTCCCTGGCGAGTGGCTCAGATCGTCTCAGCCACAGCAAAGCCTGCCTTGGGGGATGAGGAGGCAATTGCTGGGACCAGCAGTGGGGCAAGCAGCTCCCTCCTTTGAGCCGACAACCCAAAGCCACACTGCTTTGCCTCTCAGCACGGCGTTCCTTTTTTTTAAAGGAGAGAAACCATAGAGCTCCAACTTTGCTGTAGCTGCCGAGGCCTCCTCTCTGCCACACACCGTCACCCCCAGGAACCCGGGGTGTAGGGGGGATCTGCACTGCCCGGTGGGCCACGAGGCTGTGGCTTAACTGTTGTCCACCCCCACCTTCTGGGTGGCCCACAGAGGCAGGGGGCATGCGCTGAAGGCTGCCACTCCCAGGAGTCTGCTGCTGCCCCAAGTCACTTGGGACCTGCAGAGGGGAGTGACGAGGGGAGGGAGGCAGCATGGAGACGGCCCTCTCCAGGGTCCTGCAGGGCCATGTAGGAGCACCAGGTACTAGGAGAAAGGACACCACCACCAAACGCCCAGACAGAAAGGGCTGCAGAGGGGCCCTTTAGAATCCAGTAGACCCGTCCCAGAGAAGCAGACCTGGGGATATGAAAGGCAAGCAGCTGGAGAAATGCACACAGCCAGCTGTGACACACAGCCCTCCTGGACCAGGTGGCCCATGAGGGGAGGAGGGACGTGTATGACAGGCCTCGAGTGTCCTGGACAGGCAGCAGCCCCTTGAGGTTCCCATTTTACAGATGAGGCCAGTGAGGTTCGGAAGATTGAAGGACATAGCCGGGGAGCATGCACCTGTTCTGACTCACTCCCGTGCACCCTCCCTCAGATGGTCATGCAGAGGAACTTCCCAGGGGGACCCTGTCGTCCAAGAATGGCCCAGCACGGCGGTGAGGCACACCTCCATTGGTGCAGACCAAGGCAACCCAGCATGACTGGTCAGGGGCCCAAGAACTTGGCGGGGGGCTCAGTCTCTGGGCCCCTGCTCTACTTCCCATCCCAGAGACACCCGGCCAAGTGCAGGTAGCCCCGGCTCTGGGGAGCTTGGCCATGACTGTGAGCCCCACTTGGCTCAGCCTCCCAAAGCCCACCTGCTCTGCTCAGAGCCCCCAGAGAAGGGCTGAAGCATGGGCAGAGGTCCAGGGCCCTGGAAGCCCACGGGTGGTGTCGCATGGTTGACGTGGTCATTAGTAAGTGACGGGGCTCTCTAAACCTGTTTCCCCATACATCCAGAGGCGGCAAAAACAAGCCTCTCGTAATTACCGCAGGGTCAGAGGCCGTGCCCACAATGTCAAGATGTAACAGGAAGCCCCAGGAGCCAGAGCTGTCCCTACAAAGGCTATGAGTAACCACAAGTAGCCTTGGCAGGCAGCCAGGACCCTGTGGCCCCAGGGAGGCAGAGGGAGGGGAACTTCAAAGGGGAATGGCTCACCCTGGCCCTGTGGCTCATAAGTGGCTGGGCAGGCGCAAACCTGCAACCTGCCTGTGGGCCTCCTTCTCCACGGAACGTTCTCCAAAGGCCCCGCCACCAAAGCCAAGGGCCTTTGCTCCGCCCTCCCGTATGTCTCCTCTCTGTATGAGGAGCTGCCGAGGGCAGGCAGCCCCCCTGAAACTCTGGAAGGATGCCAGACCCGAGGGTCCTGGGCTCGCTGCCCTGCGCTGTCCCCAGACTGACGACGTTCGTCCCTGCCCAGCTCCGAGGGGAACCTGTCGTGTACTCAGGGTGCCTGTTCCAGCTGCCAGGCAGCCCCACCCGCAGGACCAAACACTGCCCAAACTTGGGTCATTTCCTGCCAGCTGTCCCCCACGACAGGGAACTTCTCAGGGCCAACGGGGCTGCCTAGACACTCACTGGCGCCTCCTGCTGACCACACGAGGCAAAGGTGCTCCAGAGAGCTGGGTGGGGGCGCCGGCTGTGGCGTCACAGAGCCTGGTTCAAACCCCAGCTCTGCCCTGACCCAAGGTCACTCTGACCTTCTGAGCCTCAGAGCCCTGCTGTGGAAAATGAGAATCCCGATAACACACGCGTCACGGGGCCCCCGGGAGGCGTGCACGAGATAACCCTTCCGGCACCCGAGCCGCCCTGGTCCGGGCGTGTGCCCACGGCATTGACTGCGAGTGGACTGGTGCTTGCAGCCGCCAGTCGCCTCCCCTCCCTCCTCCCTCCTCCCAGAAGGACCCCTCTGATCTCACCACCATTCAAACATTCTCCTCGATGATTCCTAACCCGCCCAAGAACTTTCCAGTCCATACTTGCGACTGTGCAACTGTCTGGCTGCTCAACTGTAATGGCGCCATCCTGTTCACTGAGAAAACTCCAAACTCCTTAGTCTCGTGTTACGAAGGACTGTTTCTAGCTTCTCTTTCCTGCGTCATTTCTGGATCTAAACAGCACCCCCGTTCCCCGTCCAGCATGACCCCATCTCACTTTCATTCACACGCAGACCTGCGTTTGAATCCTCAGACAGCTACGGGCTTGGTTACTCAGAGCCTCGGTTTCCCCACCTGCAAAGTGGGGGCAAAAACATCTGCCTTGTAATGTTTACGAGGAGCAATTGAGACCATGCCCAGGAAATGCCCTGTGTTCGGGCAGGCCCCCCATAACCGGCAGACGCTGCTCTTAGCATCCCCACGCACCCTCCCGTGCTGGGTAACCAGGAGCGAACGTCCCTCTCCCCGAAGATACGTGAACTCGTGGGACCAGAGACCTCATCCTGCAGGTCACCCCCAAATGACCACAGCACCCCACATGGGCCAGGCACCCCATGTGTGCCTGAAGGGGAAGCAAAGTGGGCATGAACTCGAGTCAGCAGCGGAGCGGGGAAAGAATGGACGTCAGGCAGGGGTTGGCCAAAGGGTGACCGCAGAGTCAGGAGTGCAGAAGGCTCCAGGAGAGTGGACAGCTGCACCGAGGGCAGGCACAGCTCAGCCCTGGGCAGCGCCAACTGCAGGCAGCTGGTGTGGCCCGGGCAGCCAGAGGGGAAAGAGCAAAGGCAGCCTCAGGCCCTCAGAAACGTTCACTCCTTAGAGCAATTCACGAAAAGCAACGGCATACTCTAGAAGAGCTGTTTCCCTGAAACAGGAGCTCCAGTCTGGATCTGTCCTGGGTCTGCAACGTCCCGCCAGCCCCACAGAATCAGACTCCCACACTCAGGCCTCGGGAAGGAGCCTCTCTGGAGACGTGAAACTCTCAGAAGCTCCTTCTGCCGGTTTAGAGACCTAAAACCTGTCCCAGACGGCAGCCTTGGCTACGTCCGAAGTCGTGGCCCTGAGACACGGTCTCCGTGTGCCGCTCTGAACTGCACTAAAGCCCCCATGAACCGCAGCCTGCCCTGACCTCTGCACTGCCCAGGACCGCCCTGGCCCCGCACCAGCTTATCTGCTCTCAGACGCAGCCCGAATGCACCGCAATCCGACTTCACGGGGGCGGGGGGCGGGGGAGAGGTCAGCTGAGGAGGGCCCTGCATGGCCCCCACACTGCTCCTGGAGAGCCTTGCCCGAGCCTCTGCTGGGGCCCTTCTAACCCCAACCATTAACCGACTCCGTGTCTGCATAGTTGCTGTGAGCTTCTTGGGAGCAACACCCTGCCCCATTCCTCTCTGAATCTCGCCCCCATGACACATCTACCTGTGCTTGTTGACTGGACCAAGAATGTGGTCCAGTGGCATTCTCGCCAAATGTGCTTTCTGAGCAGGGTGGGAGGCCACTGTGACATACCCCACATGTGCCTTCCTTTGCCAACTTGTGCCCTGCAGCAGGAGCTGTGGAAGGCAGATAGGGTGCGCATGCAGCCCTGTCACACACAGCTGTGCAGGTTGTGCACAGTACAACTACGGAGGACACCATTCACGTCACGGCCATCACAGAACCATGTGCTGACAGTGGCAATTTTAGCACAAATGGAAGTGCAGCGTCTTGAGAAATAGGCCAGCACATTTTCCTAGTTCAAACAAAGATGGGACATAAGCCATCGCCCACCATGGACAATGCAAGAGGAGTCCCTGTAGAAAGCACACAGACCTCCAGGAGACACAACCAACTCCGTGCTGAAACTCTCCTGGGAGCCAACCGGCAGGGACCATGAAAGGTTTCCTTGTTTGTGCTCACGGCACATGACAGGAAGAGCTTGATGGACACGCCTGCAGCAATCTGTAACTGGAAGCAAGACAGGAGGGTTGTGGGGACTCCGGGTCTGTCACGCAGGGGGCCCACGAGGCCTCACCCCACTGGCAGGCCCGGCGATGCTCCTGCCGTTTGCCTCACAAGACCACAGGTGGCCGAGTGTCAA